AATGAGATGATATAAGATGGAATGAATGTAAAACTAAAGTTCTCACATGTAAACTACCATATAACTCACAATAAAACATTAAAAACAACAACAAAAAACCTATGTGTCAGTTCTACTCTGTCCTACAGGATCTCTAAGTGTCAGAATTGACTTGATGTCAATGGATTTTTTGTTTGTTTGTTTTTTGTTTTTGGGGGGGGGGGGTTGGTTAACAGATATGGAGGAAGGGAACTTCCAAATTCTAGTCCTTTTTAATCTTCAGTTTCACTTAAGGGTGAAAAAATAATTGAGCACTTTAGAAGGTATTAACCCAGGGACATCAAAGACAAAATAAAACAAAAACAAACAACAAAACCCCAAGACAAACCCAATGCTGTTGAGTCAATTCTGACTGATTACAACCCAGTAGCACAGGTTCATTAAAAGACAACGGCCTAATCATACGACTATGGAAATAATAATCATGGTATTAAAAGGTAGAGAACCACAGGGGATTCTTACAAGACTCACACTTTAAGTTGTAAATTCATTGAAGGAAAATACCTCAATGAACTCACCATCTAAAGAGAGTGACTTACTTCTGTATTCTACAGTCAAGCAAAGATAAACACTGGACTACAATATTGGTTTGAACAGCAAGGTCGGCGGTTCAAATCCATCCGTCCCTCCTCGAAAACTCTATACAGGGTCGCTGTGGGTCGACGGCACTTAACAACTTATCTTCGGAACTGTCTTCCTTTTAAGTCTTGAAGGACTAAAGAAACCTCACCTGATGGACTAGTGAACCCTGTCCAAGTAAGCGAGTCGTACAGTCAAAACTCTATACCCGATTACTGGGCCGACTTTAGGGACGCTGCTCCAGCCCAAACTGCCCCCGGGTCACACTTGGATGCCCAGGCTCTTTCGTTAACTCCTAGGTTCTCCACCGTCAAATTTGGCGGCTGCTGTGGAACCCAGCAATCACAAGCATCCTTCTCGGGCCACGCCTCCCCGTCTCCGCCTTCGGGAGACAGAGCCCGATTTCGCGCACACTCATACGTACGCGGCGCGCTGACGTCGGCCTGTGACGCCACCGTCGCCCCCGCGCCGGCTCCCGCCCCAGCCTCTGCCGCCGACCGTTGGGCGGGCAGTTGAAGCCCTTCCTTCAGGGCCCCCATCCCTACCCCCTCTCGGGCGGCGATCCATGTGGGGGTTCAGGCTCCTGCGGTCGCCGCCGCTGCTGTTCCTGCTGCCGCAGCTCATAACGGGAGGCGCCGCTTCCAGCTTCCAGGCCGGAACCATGAGCTTGGGCGGCAGCGGCGGCACGCAATGCTCTGTGTCGGCCGAGGGGCGCCGCCCGCAGTGCCTGCAGCTGCCCACGGTGCCGGGAGCCGACCCGCAGCGTTGCAACGACCTGCTGCTTCTGGCGGGAGCGGGACACGAGCTGCGGGAGCTCCCCGGGGACCGGGCGCAGGAGAAACCGCAACCGCCGCCCCAGCATCATGTCCTCTATTTCCCAGGGGATGTGCAGGTAACCTGGGGCCTGCCTCGGCACCTGTCCCCACCCCGTGCGCACACTGGCGCGTTCCCGCGATTCTTCCCTAGTTGTGTGGCCGAGTTCCGTGCTTCGCTAAACACACCCACCATGCACTCCCGGAGCGTCGCCGGCATTCCTCCGCCAGAACCTAAATCCCTGACCCCTGACCCTTTTCCCTAAGGGGAAGGTGTCCTCGGTGGGCTCTGACCTCGAAAGAAATAGCTGTCAGTCCAGGCTTCCAGGTGGTGGAATTTGAGACATCTCTAAGAAATGGGAAGGCAGGATGGATATGCATTTTATAACTGGTTTCCCTGTGTGGTGGGGCTGGAATAGAGCTGACTTTTAAATTAATTAAGCACATAGTGTCCAGGAAACGCTGAAGTAGTTTAAAACAACAACGGGCAAGCAAAGAAAGAAAAAACATTAACTTTTTATTAATGACCTTTTTATTAACTCTAAAAAGACCCAGGTGGAAGAAAAGGGTCAGTTGTTGCTAAGCATGTCAGTCTTTTAATGCTTCCTAAGTTCTGTATTTTTGGTTTTCTGTGACTCTGTTATTAATTTTGGAGTCTTGGTGTGGCTCTGTGGGTTCATGAGCCAGACTGCAAAGCCCTTTGAACTGCAAGGTTGGCGGTTCAAGCTCACCAGTCACTCCTTGGAAATCCTATATAGGGTCCCTGTGGGTCGGAATCGACTCGAGGGCACTTAACAACAACATCATTATTTTACAGCTGCAGATAATATATCCTTGTGTTTTTTCTTTTTTTCTTGGAAGCTGCGTTGTAATTGAGAACGGCATTGTCTAGTAAGGATGTATCTGGCTATTTTTAAATCCACTAAAATTAAATTAAAATAGTAAGAAATTATTGTTGTCATAGCCACGTTTCAAATGTTCGGTAGTCACAGATGGTTGTGGATTCTGTATTGAACAGTGCAGATGCAGAGCATTTCCACAGAACATTTTCATTGTCATCGAAAGTTCTACTGGAGGTGCTGAGAAGCAATGGTTTAAAAAGATAGCTTTAAAATTATGTATTGCTAAATAATGATGACGGTACTTGTAGTTGTTTCTCTGCCCTCAGAATAATTGATCTCATTGACTACTAATAAAAACTGTGGAGAAACTAGCATTTAGATTGAAGAGAAGAAACATTACCTGCTCAGATTTGAGAAGACAGTATGCGGCATCACTGATAATGAGGCATGTGGACCATGTGCACATGCCTATAATGATGATAAAAATGCCAACAGTTATTGAGTACCTTCTATTTTTAAAGTGTGCCCTCCAGACATAGTTCAAGTTTTCATGTGAGGTTTAAAAAGTGCTAATAAGTACTTAGGAGTCCTGGTGTGACACTGTAGGGTATGCACTGGACTGCTAACCACAAGGTGGTTAGTTCAAACCTATCAGTCACTCCTCGGAAACCCTATACAGGGTCACTGTGAGCTGGAACCGACTCGATGGCACTTAACAACAAGTTTATTTGGTGTATTACATCTCTTCCTTTCAGCATCATCCTTCTCTTTATGTATCCTGAGATTCCATTAGCTTTTTAGACAGTGATATGCTTTTGCCTTATGCAGCGTAAATGCCCTAAGAACCCTGGGTGTTTTTTCCCCTCAACTTTTTGTTATGAGTTGAATGATGGGAAACAGACAAGATCATTAGCTTTACTTTCAACCAATCGTACATTTCGTTTCTTTTTAATGATTACTCTCCCTTCTGTGCAACAACTGTTATCCTGCTTCCACCCCAGGCTTCCCTTTTACATCTTATTTTTTTCAAAGGAACAAAGCAAAAATATTTGATGTACATATACAACAAAGAATTTATATTCATTTAAATGTCCAAAAGGGCACATTTTGCAAGCCAGCCTCCTGTCTATAGGCACACAGCCTTTCTCAGTCCATGGGCCTAGAGTCCTCAACTGCTCATGTCTATGTCATCTCCTCTGAACCCTGAGTCTTCTAGAGAAGAAATGCAGACATTGAGACCAGATTGCCAAGTTTGAATCTTAATATTACAATATTTAGTTGTGGAATCTACGGGCAGTTGTTAAATCTCTCTGTTGTAATTGCCTCAGCTATAAAATGGAACTAATAATTTCTAGGAAAGGAGCTCTGGTAGCGTAGTGGTTACGAGTCGGGCTGCTAACCGCAAGGTCAGCAGTTTAAAACTGCCAATGGTTCCGCAGGAAAAAGATGAGGCATTCTGCTCTCGTAAAGATTTACAGCCTCGGAAACGCCGTACAAGGTCAGTATGAGTCGGAACTGACTCCACAGTACTTGACAACAACAGCAGTTTCTAGGATGTGAGTAGGGATTAAATCTCTGAATACTTAATGAATTATAGCCCTTTGTGTAATTTTTAAATAGTTGGGAGTATACAACAAAGTCTTAGATTTTTCTACTGCCTGTATTCATTCCCTCAGTGATTTCTCAGTCTCCTGGCTTTACAAGCTTCTGTACCCTGACGGACACCCTCACTATCTTTGTTTAGTTAGCTTGGACATCTCTGAACTTTAGACTCACCAGCTGCATGTACAATATTTCTTTGTGGATATTTAGTAGACATCTCAGACCTGCAGTCTGTGGATCTTGATTCTTAAACCTGTTTCCTACTCTTCCCCATCTCAGCTAATGGAAACTGCCTTTGTGGTTGCTCAACTTAGAAATCTTAAAGTCATTGTTGACTCTTCGGTTTCACGTATCATGTCCAGTGGCTTCATCTTCTAAATGTATCTACAAGTGATCAAATGTGGGTCAAATCATACCACACCTCTGCTTAAAACTTGGGTGCTTTCCTGTGTCACTGAGTAAAAGCCAGAGTCCTGTCAGTGGCTGAGGGGTCCTTCTCTAACTCTACCCTTTTTCACCCTGTTACAGCCCTTTGTCTCCTTTTGCTGTCTTACTCTGTTCCAGCCACACTGGCCTTACTGTTGCTCAGACGTGTCAAGCAGGCTTCATTTTGTGCACACCACCTGGTACAGTCTTATGACAGATATCTGTAGGACATTGCTTACAGGTGCACTGCCTCACCTCTTTCAAGGCTTTGCTCTAAAGTCACCTTTTGTGAACATTCTATTTTATAATCATATGGTGTGGTGCTGTGGTTTAACGCACCAGACTGCAAAGTTGGTTTGAACTGCAGTGTTCGCAGCTCAAGATCACCAGCTGCTCCTCGGAATCCCTATACAAGGTTGCTATGGGTCAGAACCGACTGGACAGCACTTAACAACAACAATATATATACAAATTGCCTATCAACTATTACTTATTTTACCCATTTCATTTACCTTATTATTTATTCATTTTGGTTTTTTCTACCTTTATCACAGTGCTTATAAACCCATACTGTTAGCAGTATACAAAAGATTATTAGTAAAACCTGACATATGTCTCTAAGAGTTTAGAGATACTCATGATAAAGATTTAAGTTAGGGTGAGGAGAGGTACATTGGGTACAGGCTGTACTTGTACCAAAAGTGGGTCAAGGGGCATCTTTTTTGAGCATAAGGGGGATGTCTCAATTCTGGGAGCTAAAACTAACGATTATAAGGTTCAGCCTGGGAGGGCTGCCAGACCAAGCTCAGCCCTAGAACATATGGCCAAGATATACCACCGTAAGATAAAGTAATTTTTGTTATTTTTATAGGAAAGCAGAATTTAAAAAAAGATACGTAATAACCAAAAATAAATAATAATGGAGATACAGTAATAATCAGTTAAATAAAAAAATCACTGATATGGGTAACACACATTTAATTGATTGTAATTCACAGCAGTCTTATGGGACAGATTAGAACTGCTGCTTTGATTCTTCAAGGCTGTAAATCTGTCTCCCTCCAAGAGGCTGGTGGTTTGAATCACTGACCTTGCATTAGTAGCCTGACACTTAATCCACAGTGCCACCAGTGCTCCTTGATACAGGCAATAGTAAGGTGAATTTCTAAAGTGTAGTGTGAAAAAAATGATGCAAAGGCTTTATGCCATATAATTACAAATTTAATGGTGTTCTAGAAAAGGCTATACAAGAAAGTAGAGCAGTGGTTGCCTTGGGCTGGGAGTAAGGAAAGGAGATTGAAAAGAGGCACAAGGGAACTTTATAGGGTCATAGAGATGTTCTATAACATGGTTGTGGAGGTGGTTACATAACTAACAGGTGTCAAAATTCATCAAATATTTACATTTAAAATGAGTGACTTGTGAAACAACACCTCAAATTTCTCCAGAAGTTTTAAAAAGTGAAATAACTCAACAAAATTAGGAAGCACCTATTGTTAGGTGCCATCGAGTCAATTCCAACTCCCAGTGATCCCATTTGACAGAGTAGAGCTGTCCCGTAAGATTTCCTAGGCTGTAATCTTAATAGGAACGGATAGCTAGTTGTGTGGAGTTGCTGGGTGATTTCAGACCACCAGCTCTTTGGTTGACAATCCAACACTTAGCCTTTGCACTAATTGGGCTCCTACATAAAAAATAGAACATGGTCTTCCTCCGAAGTCATTACTGATGAATAAGAAAATCATATAGGGGTATCTAGACATGAGTTACTATGGCATTAGTAAAAGAACAGGAATAGACTAAAGGAAGACATTCAGCAAAAGGAACATTAGGAAGCTAATACCAATTGTTGATGTTGAGTGTCCTCAGTTTAGTTCTGATTCTAAGGAAAGACTGATGTATTTGAACCACCAACCTTGTAGTTAGCAGTCCAGTGCTGATCCTACAGTGCCACTGCCGGACTCCAGGAGTCCACTATTGTTAAGTGCCGTCAATTCAGTTCTGATTCATAGCAACCCTGTTTAGGGTTTCCAAGGATCGAACCGCGTTGTTGTGCAAACTGACCTTGTGGTCCCCTGCTTATCCTACACTGCCACACCAGGACTCCATTGTTGTTAAGTGTCATTGAGTCTGTTCCAACCCATAGCACCCTGTTTAGGGTTTGTAAAGAGAGGTTAGTGAGCTTGAACCACGGACCTTACAGTTCAAACCAACTTTATAGTACAATGCATTAACCCACTGCGCCATGCCAGGACTCTATTGTTGTTGTTGTTATGTGCTGTCGAGTCAACTCTGACCCATAGGGACTCTGTATAGGGTTTCCAAGGAGCAGCTGGTGAGCTTGAACCACCAACCTTGCAGTTCAGACGGCTTTGCAGTCTGGCGCATTAACCCACAGTGCCACACCAGGATTCCAGGACTCCTTTAGGAGGAATTAAAATTAAGTCAGCAGCTAGATCCTGTGATTAACATATAATGAATCAGTGTCAAAATGAGGTGAAGCTTCTAATGGGACCTGATATTTTGTTATTGTATTTAATTTTAATTGAAATACTGGTACGCAATCCAAATTCTTGGACTGATTTGGATATGTGAATCTACTTTTTCACCAGTGAATTTTATGAAATATGATGAAAATTTAGCCTCTAAACTGAGATGTGCTATAAGTGTAAAGGAGCCTTGGTGTGATGCTGTGGGTTAATGTGCGTTTGAAGCTCATGGTTGATGGTTCAAGCTCACCATTAGCTCCTTGGAAACCCTATACAGGGTCACTATGGGTCGGAACCAACAACAAATAATTAAGTCCTGGTGTGACACTGTGGGTTAATGTGCTGGACTGCAAAGTCGTTTGAGCTGCATGGTTAGTGGCCGTTTAAGCTCACCAGCTGCTCCTAGGAAACTGCAGGATCGCTATGGGTCGGAACAAACTTGATGCCACTTGACAACAACAGCTTAAGTATAAAATACAGACAGAATTTCAATTAAGAATGTAATTATCTTTGGTTGTGTGTTGGACGCAAAGTCGATTTGAACCGCAAGGTCAGTGGTTAAAGCTCACCAGCTGCTCCTCGGAAACCCTATAAAGGGTCGCTATGAGTTAGAACCAGCTCAGTGGCACTCAACAGAACTTATTGCTTACGTATATAAATATTATAGGAATCCTTGTGGACTGCTCCTTTAAAGGTAGGAAGCCCAACCCCCCCAGCCACTCCTTGGAAACCCTATACAGGGTCACTATGAATCAAAACTGTCTCAGTAACAAACACTTCACAATAGCAGTAACAATTTGGATATTGTTGTTGTTAGGTGCCATCCAGTCGGTTCCAACTGAATGCTACCTTATGCACCACAGAACGAAACCCTGCCAGGGCCTGCACCAGCCTCACAGTCGTTGATTTGCTTGAGCCCATTGCTGCTGGAATGAGGGATATCATTGCTGACATCAGATGGATCTTGGCTGAAAGCAGAGAGTGACAGAAAGATGTTTGCTTGTGCTTTATTGTCGCTGCAAAGACTTGCGACTATGGGAATCATGACAGGCTATGGACAGCATTGCAGAGAGTACGTATTCAAGAACACAACTATGCTCATAAGGAACTTGAGCATATACCAAGAGGTAGTCATTCAAACAGAACAAGCGGACACTGAATGGTTTAAAATCAGGAAAGGTGTGTGTCATGGTTGTATTCTTTTACCACACTTATTCAGTCTTTATGCTGAGTAAGTAACCTGAGAAACTGAATTATAGGAAGGAGAACATGGCATCAGGATTGGAGGAAGAGTCATTAACATCTGCAATATACAGAGGATAGATGCAACCCTGTTTACTAAAAACTAAGGACTTGAAATTCTTACTGATGAAGAAAAAAAACTGCAACCTTTGGTATGGTTGCACCTTAATGTAAAGAAAACAAAAATCCTCACCATTGAACCAATAAATAATGTGACAATAAATGGAGAAAAGATTGAAGTTGTTAAAGACTTCATTTTGCTTGGATCAACCATCAACACTTATGGAAGCAGCAATCAAGAAATCAAACTATGTATTGCATTAAGCATATCTGCTGCATAATACCTCTTTAAAGTATTAGAAGAGCAAGGATGTCAGTATGAGGACTAAGGTGTGCCTGACCTAAGCCATGATATTTTCAGTAATCTCATATGCATGCAAAAGCTGGACAGTGAATAAGGAAGATTGTAGAAGAATTGATGCTCTTGACCTGTTGTATTGGCGGAGAATATTGAAAGTACCATGGACTGCCAATTGAACAAACCAATCTGTATTGGAAGAAATACAGCCAGAATTCTCCCTGAAAACCAGAGTGGCCAGATTTCTTTTCTCAGGAGGGACCTCCCGAGAGAAGTATATGATGTTAGGTAAAGTGGAAGGTCAGAGAAAAACAGGCAGACCACCAGCGAAATGGATTGGCACAGTGGCAGCAGCAGTGGCCTCAAACATAGCAATGGTAGTGAGTTTGGCGCAAGACTGGGCAGTGTTTTGTTGTGCATAGGGTGGCTGTGAGTGGCACCTAACAGCAACAACAACAATCATTAATATAACAGGGAACTTCCAAAAGTTTGTAGAAAAAATTTTATGTTTTAATTCCATTTGTTCACGAAGTTTTGAAGCACTTTTGTATATATAATGCTTATAAATTAGTGAAAGACAATCATTTGAATAGAAAAAGGTAAAGGATATCAATAAACACAGAAATTCAGATATCTAATAAGTATATGAACAAAATTTCAGTTTATGAAATGTGCCTTTGAAATTTAACAAAGATAAAAGAAAACTTATGCCCACTATTGGAGAACAGGTATGCCTCACTCAGCGTAGTATTCTGTCTGCATCACCAAACTGAAATGATCAGTATTCTTTGAGTTAGTTTTTCCATATTTAGGAATTTACTTTAGAGATGTGTTCACAGATTACATGTCTAAAGATGTATGTAAGGATGTGTTCAAAGAGGTTCTGTAATGTTTATTACAGCATTGTTTATAATATTAAAATCAAACATAGTATTGTTCAGACTTAGAATAATCCAAAGACGGAAAGATGCAGAATGGCAGCTTTTATAGGGCAGTAGTCTAAGATTCTGTGTTGGTCAAAATGTTTACCTACTAAACATGTTCAGGAGCTCTGGTAGTGTAGTGGCTACGAGTCAGGCTGCTAACCGCAAGGTCAGTAGTTTGAAACTACCAGCTCTTCTGTGTGAGAAAGATGAGGCTTTCTGCTGCCATAAAGATTTGCACCCTCGGAAACCCTGTACAGGGTCGCTATGAGTTGGAACTGACTCCACAGCACACTACTACCACCACCACCACCACCACCACTAAACATGTTTACATTTTCTGTAATTGTGTTAAAATTGATCAAATGTATACTTAAAATTTATCATATTATGTAGTTAGTGTTAAGTGTCATTGAGTTACTTCTAACTCATTGCGACCCTGTATAGAATTTCCGAGGAGCAGCTGGTAGATTTGAACAACCAGCCTTGTAGTTCACAGTCCAGTGTTGCTCCTACAGCACCATACCAGAAGTCCACCTCTCTTTTAGGGCTACTGACAAATGCCCATAGGATGTAGCACTCAACCATAAATCTCATATATGTGTTGTTGTTGTTGTTGTTAAGTACTGTGGAGTCAGTTCCGACTCATAGTGACCCTGTACAGGGTTTCCGAGGCTGTAAATCTTTACGGGAGCAGAAAGCCTCATCTTTCTTCCGCAGAACAGCTGGTAGTTTCGAACTGCCGACCTTGAGGTTAGCAGCCCGATTTGTAACCACTACGCTATCAGAGCTCTATAATCCTACTAAAATAAATGTTTTATTTTTTTTAAAAATTAAATTTCTACCATACTATTTAATTTTATTGGACCAATAAACAATATCATGATAAATAATATCATGGCAAAAACTTGAAGTTGCCAAAGACTTTAATTTTGCTTGGTTCCACAATAAGTGCTCATGGAAGCAGCAGTCAAGAAATCAAAAGACATATTGCATTAGACAAATGTGCTGCAAAAGACCTCTTTAAAGTGTTAAAGAGCAAAAGATGTCACTTTGAGGACTAAGGTGTACCTGACCCAAGGCGTATTTTCATTCACCTCATATGCATATGAAAGTTGAACAGTGGATAAGGAAGACCTCTGAAGAATTGTTGCATTTGAATTTGGGTGTTAGCTAAGAATATTGAAAGTACTATGGACTGCCAGAAAAATGAACAAATCTGTCTTGGAAGACGTATAGCCAGAATGTTCCTTAGATTCAAAACTTCGTCCCTCATATTCTTGACATGTTGTAAGGAGGGGCTAGTCTCTGGGGAAGGACATCATGCTTGGTAAAGCGGAGGGTCAACAGAAAAGACAAAAAACCCTGAATGAGGTGGAGTGACACAGTGACAACAGCAGTGGGCTCAGAGATAACAATTTTGAAGAAGGTGTAGGACCGGGCAGTGTTGTATTCTGTTGTGCAGAGTCATTATGAGTCAGAACTGACTTGATGGCACCTAACACCACCACCATTTACAATATATAATTGCTCTGAATATATTTGAGACTCAATGTGAAAACACGATTTGCTTAAAATCGTATAATCAGAAAGTTATGACAGAATTGGTTTTCACTTTTAATATATTAACCATATTCAAGTTGATTCTGCCTTACAGTGACTCTGTAGGACAGGATAGAACTATACCTTAAGGTTTCTAAGCAGTAAATCTTTATGGGAACAGATGGCCTATTTGATCCCAAAGAGGGACTGGTACATTTGAACCACCAACCTTGTGGTTAGCAGTCCAACACTTAACCCACTGTTCAACCAGGGTTCCTTATATTGACGGTAGGTTATTGCAATAGCCCAACTTCATTCCCAATAACAATGGGAAACTATTATGTGGAAATAATTTCATGAAAGTATGGATTAATGCTTGTTTTATGTTTCTTACCTTTCAGAATTATTACGAAATTATGACTCGTCATCCTGAGAATTACCAATGGGAAAACTGGAGCCTAGAAAATGTAGCGACCATTCTATCCCACCGGTTCCCCAATAGTTATATTTGGGTGATAAAGTGTTCCCGAATGCATTTGCATAAATTCAGCTGCTATGACAATTTTGTGAAAAGCAACATGTTTGGTGCCCCGGAACACAGTACTGACTTTGGAGCTTTCAGACACCTTTACATGTTATTAGATAATGCTTTTAATTTAACTCAAAGCAGTCCACTATCAAAGAAGAATGTGAATGTTTTGAATAAGGGTTCCAAAGCATCTAATTGTGGATCTAATTCTTCTCATTCCACTAATGGTTGCCAGGGAGAAAAAGAGAGGACCTGTGAGAAATGTGATGAGTCTGCCATGAGCTTTTATCCACCATCTCTAAATGGTGCATCTTTTACTTTGATTGGATTCAGTAAAGGTTGTGTTGTTTTAAATCAGTTGCTTTTTGAATTGAAAGAAGCCAAGAAAGACAAGAACATAGATGCCTTTATCAAAAGCATAAGAACAATGTACTGGCTGGATGGTGGCCATTCTGGAGGAAGTAATACTTGGGTTACTTATCCGGAAGTCTTGAAAGAATTTGCACAAACAGAGATTATTGTTCATACCCATGTAACACCTTACCAAGTACATGATCCAATGAGATCTTGGATTGGAAAGGAGCACAAGAAATTTGTTCAGATACTTGGCGAGTTTGGTATGCAGGTAACTAGCCAAATTCATTTTGCAAAGGAAGTTCCTTCCATAGAGAATCACTTCAGGGTTCATGAAGTATTTTGAGACTGAAGAATATTAATGTACTTGTTCCTGGAAGAGCATAAGCACTATGAGTGTTATAAATTCATATAATGATGTATATTCAATAGATGTATCATCACTTTGGGCACGGGGAGAACACATTCCTAAAATACGAGTATAATGTGCAATAGTAATCCTTGTTTGTGAATGTGAGCAATTTTTGATGTAGACTATTAGGACAATAGTTAATTTGAAATCTAAAAAAGTGATTTGTGATAATCCTATGAGGAAATAAAGGTCTTGAAAAATGAAATTTACAATATAGCCCTTTTAAAAAGTAACTAATTATAATTATTACTGTTGAGTAATGTTTAATGTTTTTCACTTATTTTGGTGACATTATAACAGTAATTAGCTATTTTGGTTGAAAGTACTCCATTTCTCTTGAAACAAAACACAGGCACTGATGTTTTCCTTGATTGTGAACAACTTTAGCCTGCTTGTGTTTTGTAAACTCAGATACATTCTTTAACATGTTGCCAAGGGCATTTTTCTGCAGAGTTGAAATATTTTTGTTTCCAAAAATGGACAATAGTGCAAAAGTGTACAGTTTTGCAAAAGTTTGTTTTAAAGGTATACATGTAAACACTATGACTTAATTTTCAATTGACAACTTTTTTATACTGGTGTGTCTTGAATTTTGGACAAAACCCAATTATTTTGGGAAATTGGTTTAAATTTAACATAATTATATATATATTGGATAAAAATATACTCTAGAGCAGATTTCAAATCTTTTATTCTGTCATTCTTTTGAAAGATATTGACTTAGGTAAAATATGTAAATAATGCTCTGGTGAAAAGGAGATCGATCCCACATATTTAAATCAGTTTCTTCAGAAACATGGTTTTGTCTACCAAAAAAAAAAAATAGCTCTCTTTGGCTAAAATGTAAAATTATATTGCTGCAAGAAAAGTTAACAATGGAAAGTTTGAAGGCACAAATAATTAACTTTGGGTTCAGAACTGGAATTTGCTAAACATAACTACATAATTTGGGTAAAGTTTTCTTTTTCCCAGTTTTTGTACTGTTTTTAAATTCTTTCCTTGACCTGAATATATTTTGAGAAACCAATTAATAAATGATTTAATAATGTTAACCAACATTGAAACACAGCTGTATGATTATGATAAAAGGCAAACTAACTTTTTGGATGCTTACTAGTAATTGGCTTTTATAAGTCATGAAATAATGGGGAATTAGCATGCTGCTTTAGGGATGAAAAAAATGACCCTGAACTTTAATGTAGAGGACCTGCATTTATAAAACAATATAGAAAAAAATATGTTTTGGTTTCTTCCCAGCATTACATTCCAGATATTCAGAGATTCAATATTTTACCTACCAAATGCTTAAAAATAGCATACTTTTGTGTGTGTGTTTTAACTTAAATATATAAACTACAAAATGTATCTTTAAATATATTTTTTTTCTCCACAGAATAGTTTTATATTTATTCTGTTTCTTTGAATACCTGCAGTTTCTTTTGAGACCAAAAATACCCATTAACAAGCACACAGGTCAACCTGACTCAAACCTTTAAGCACCTGACATGACTGTTTGGTTGTTTTCAGTTTGTTTAATACTCTCTGGTTAAATTAACATGTATCCAATGTGAAATGATTGAATTGCTGAAATGCTCTTAATGGTGAAGGGAGGGAGTTTAGGACTTAAGTGAAAAAGGTAGGTCTTCAAAAAAAGGTTTGTGGAGAATGCAATGAAAAAATAATGGAATTTTTCCATGAACTTTCTGATACTCCCTGTTACTGAATTAAAAATCTGAGATATTAAAAATTTGGGTTCTTTAGCTACCCACTGTCTCATGACTACTTATTTATAATTATATATTCAGTAGATAATATAAGGATAATTCACAGGTTCCTAGAACTGCCATCTCATCAAAATGACTGTTGAAAAGTAAAAACTGTTTCTCAAATTAAAATATACTCAAGTTGATCCATAGTCAAATGTTTTCTGTTTGATACTTCAAATTTGTCCCTTCTCCACATTTGTTTAAAGCTGTTTTGTAAATGCTTTGGATTGTGTCTTTTCATAAAAGTGTCAATGAGAACTAATTATACAAATAATGTGAAAGTTATTACCACCACAGCATGAATGTCCAATTGTATTAAAATTAATAATCCACATAACTCTGTTTGGGTATTCTTTATATTTATTAGCATTGTTAAATTTCAGATACTTGAAAGGAAGTTATTTCTTTCTACCTTGCCAATTTGGGTTTATATATATAAGTGGACTTCAAGAAGTTTGTGGGAAAATGGAATTAAAAGAGAATGAAATTTCTCCATGAACTTTTTGAAGTCTTTCTGCATATGTTCTTTTTTCAGATGAGCAACTTTGAACGTTTCCTGTAAAAATATACCACTTCCCTTCTTTTTAAAATGCTCCATAAAAATTTACATTATTTCCATTTCTTACGTTGGATTTCTTAGAAGAGAATCTCAAATAAGTTTCTCCTTCTGTATTCTAATCATTTCAGGTATTTATATTCCTTTCTCTGTACTTAAGTGACTTGCTTAGAATATGATGTGGTCTGTTTTTCAGTATTCATTCATTTAGTATCTAAGCTACCAAGGAAGGTACAGGTCTAGACACTGAGGGCATAACACTGTAAAGTCTCAGCTCCTGAATAGGGAAATGTTCAATAGACCAGGGCTTACTTGGTAAAATATGAAACAAAGGATAGAATTATGCTACCTTTCCTTTAAGAAGCTGTCAGAATCAACTCAAGGGCAATGGGTTTAGATTTTTGTTTTTAGACAAGTATGTGTTAGAGATTAAAATGTGAATGTGTGTGTCAAGTTGATTATGGCTTATAGGAACGCTGTAGAACAGAGTAGAATTGCCCAGTAGGGTGTAGTCCTTTCAGGCGCATGCCTTTTCCCTCAGCCTCTTGTGGGTTTGAACCACAGACCTTTCAGTGAACAACCAAATGGTTAGCCATTGCATCACATAGACTATTCTGTACATTCAGGTTCTTTGCAAAGGCAGAGAAACCCAGCAGCAATTACTGGTAGAGATATGCAGTTACTTAGGATGGACATTTTAGTGTCCCATTTACTAACTTACAAAGAATACAGTTTAGGCATATTTGACACACCCAAGCATTCTTGATTTGTATACTCAAAACAAGACTTTAGGGTAAGACCAGAGATAGAGAGGGTGACGTGAGTTCCTCCTAACTATGTTTGTTCCCACTGGGATAGTCCCAGCAGCCTAGTTCAACCCCATATAGACCTGCATTCCTGCTCCTGCATTTTTTTTCTTTTCTTAAATCACCTCAGGTTTAACTTCAATGTCTGCTTGTAGCATTTTATGAAAGAAAAACCCTATTACCATGCTCCTTTCCCAGTGCCCATTTCGTCGTCAGGTGCCATCGAGTCGGAACCAACTCAGCGACCCCATGCACAGCAGAACGAAACAATGTCCGATCCTGAGCCAACCTCACTACCGCTGCCACACTTGAGCCCATCAATGATGCCACCTGGCCAATCCATCTCATTGGGGGTTTTCCTCTTTTTCTCTGACCCTCCACCTTACCCAGCATGACATCTTTCTCCAGTGACCGTTCCCTCCTGACAATATGTCCAAAGTATGAGAGACAAAGCATAGCCATCCTGGCCTCTAAGGAGCACTCTGGCTACACTTCTTCCAAAACAGATCTATTGGTTCTTTTGGCAATCCATGGCATTTTCAGTATTCTCCTCCAACACCACAACTCAAAGGCATCAATTCTTCTACCATCATTCTTATTCACTATCCAGTTTTCGCATCCATATGAGGTTATTGAAAATATCATGGCCTGGGTCAGGCGCACCTTAGTCCTCAAGCTGACATCTCTGCTCCTCAACACTTTAAAAAGTTCCTGTGCAGCAGATTTTCCCAATGCAATACATCGTTTGATTTGACTGCTGCTTCCATGAGTGTTGATAGTTGATCCAAGAAGAATGAAGTCCTTGACAACTTCAATCTTTTCTCCATAGATAAGAATGTTTATTGTCCAGTGGTAAGGATTTTTGTTTTCTTGACATTGAGATGCACTCCATATAGCTGCTATAAAAGGATGGAAAGTTGTAAAATAAGCCATGTTAACTTTGTGACCCTGTTTTGTTACTACCCAGTTTTGTTATTTCATGAGTGTGAGTTCAAAATTACTAAATAATGCAATTTCAATGTAATAAAACAAATAGTAATGTTCACGAAATACTAAAAATTACACCTCACACATAATACTTGATATATTTTTACAGTATATTCACAGGGTTAAAAAAGAAAACATGCAAATCTGGTCTCCAGTTTGCCCACCTAGTTATTCAGTCTTTTCTTAGAGACAACCACTATCACTAGTTTCTGTGTTTCAGTGTAGAGAAAATTCTAAATATATACAAATAAATGTTTATATACAGTATACCTTATAAAAATTGCAGTCGTTTCTTACCTATTTTTCATCTATTTGCCTTGGAAAATATTCCCTGCCAGTCCATATACTTCTTCATTCTTTGACTGCATTGTATCCCTTTTGTATATTACACTCTGATACCTGTTCACCATTCATTTTTCTTTAAATCCTTGTCTATACAGCAAGCTGTGCAGTGAAAATTTTTGTTGTAAAGTTAAAAAAAATTCTTTGTGTATCAGGTCAAGTCGTCAAATTGTCTAATCAAAGCAAAACTACATAACTACACAAAAGTGTTTGAGATGTGCCGCACCTATAAGAGAATGGAGAATTGTAATCTGGTCACCACAATGAATTCCCAATTTCTGTCAACAGGAGTGTGAGCCTGGACAGTCATTTTAGCAGCATGAATTGGAGCTATTTAAGATTCCTCCCAGCAATAAAACTGGATGGTTTGGAATTTCTGAGAAGTTGCAACTAACATGCTAAACATTTTATACTTTATCAAACGTCTCATTTGTTCTTAACTTTGGGCAAAAAGATAAAAGCACTGAACTGCAAGGT